TGAGAAGAAATGATTAGCGAATATACACTCATTTGCAAATTAACTTGGTTTTTTGAGAGACTTACCTGGAACCCAGCTGAATCTCTCGGTTTTGATGTTTCCAGGCAGCTAAACGTTCTGCACCAGGCCGCCTCATGTTTCATTCGCAAATGAGTGTATATTCGCTAATTTCGTGCAATTTTTTTTCAAGTAGAACATAGGGTTGACGGAACCTCGGGGACTGCGCCTATCTGATGAGCCACAAGAAGGACGAAACCGGTCGTGGGCTGTCGAGAAGTTTTCAGCAACCTTATGAGTAGTGCATTACGAGAAAAAATGATCTTTGAGGATTTCCACTCCTAAACAAATGTTTCCATTTCGGAGACTTCTGATGTACTGTTAAGTCGTTTAGAGCATTCATCAGTTCTTAGTCGTTTTTTTACAAAGTTGTCTCAGCTTGTCAGTTACTGCTGAAATTTCGAGTGAAACATGGGCAACCAGGCACCGAACAGCCACGCTGTACCTAAACATGCCATCCATGGAAAGAATTTTCCTTGGCCAATAGGACTGTGATAGTTTTGCGTGTCCGGTGGCATCGCATGAATGCTATTTGTACTGCGGCTCTCTTATATACACACCTCTCTTTTTCACCTTGTCCCACAATTGCGTTATTCCTATTCCAGAAACTTGACTGGAAACATTAGAACCACCGTGCGTTAAAAGATCTGGAGGAACCCCGCACAGTCTGTGCGAACTTAACTTTAGGGACTGCGAGTTCCCATGGCGTTTGCCAACCCAGTGGCGGTTGTTGCACCCATAGGTAGCACCGGCCGTGTCCACCTACGACGGGCAATGTCCCATTACGGTAGGATCGCGGCACTTCGGGTCATATTTTAATCCAAATTTGTCCCGTTTCTCACTGACGATCCACTTTGTCCAGGTAGCATTAAACTCAGAGCCCCAACTTCACAGGTGTTAAACGTTGCGCTATAACCTAAATGCCATAAACATGGTGGAATTGGCGTGTTTTGGACTCAGTAACTGTTGAGGTTAGTTCCACCATAAGATGATTTCTAGACATCAACATGTGAGTGTTCGTTCAACGGCGTTTCCACTAGTGACTATACTTGGATGACGCATTTTTCACGTAGGAACGAATACAGTAAAACAAGATTAATTCGATTCAGCATATGCACATGATGGCCAGTTTGTAATTGCTCTCCTTTGGAACTGACCACTGTCAACGCATGAGTGCTTCGCCTCTAGCCCGGAGAACTGTCTTTGAGCTGTTTAGTATCGCTTTGCCTTTTCAGTTTATTTCATAACGGTTGTATTCGGTTTTTCATGATTGATATCTAAATAAGTTCAACCAGTAGCACGCGTTAAATATGGTAGTAAATAAATCCGAGTGCTTGAAGACGGTGATAAGCAACACATATAGCCCATAGACTGACTTCACCTACACGGTAAACAATGAAAGCGTGATTCTGTCGGAAAATCCTATATATATATATATATATATATATATATATA